CATGGCGGCTTATGGAGCCGCACACACCAGAGCGAACTGCGATACGCGATACCGAGACGAATGCGATACCGTAGCGATAGTATCGCGGTAACGCTGCATGCACTGTTTGCAGCGCTGTATCGCGGCGATACCAATGTGGCCAAACTATGAACTACTCAGTTTCGTCTGTTCTCTGCAATTTTCAAGTAAGAAAACAGTATTTTAATTATGTGCTTCTTGACTTGTGATTTTATTTGACAAGATCTTAAACCGACGATGCTGGTACCTTCAGGTTAAGTAACATTAATAATAACAAAAAAGTATCTAAATACAGTATTTCAAAACTACATGATATATGAAATGAAAATTAAAGATACTTTATATAGAATTTATAAAGGTATGAGATTTGACCAAAAATGTATCTATATACATTTACAGAAAAGAACAAAGTGTATTATAGCAAATCATGTCAATTTTATGTACTTTTAACATTTAACCCCGAACTTTTAATCCCGTTTTAGCAACTACAAATTTAGAATAGGGTTCGACTTTATTATTTGTTATTAAACTATGTTTTTCTGAAGAATTTACAATAGAATTCCCAAGCATTCAGACATCTTGGATTTATTAACTATTTTAACTCTTAAACATTTGATTTGAATTAACAATCGTTTTTCCAGTGCCGCTGTCAATCCAATGTTGGGTGATTTCTGAAATAAAATTATTTAATACTGGTTTGATGATGATTCAAATTGCTACTTTAATAGTTCATACAATATTGTATTAGCAACAAGCACAGCATTGCAGAGGTTTTGCTAGTCAGACTAGACGGACTAGAGAGATCGTAGGTACTGAGTTGATCCGTAAATTCGTTAAAAAATATATCTACCAGTCTTAAAGTGATTGCTTAAAGTGATTGGTCGTTCTTCGGCACTAATCGCTTCACTGTAGTGGGTACTTTCCTTTTCGATAATGCCAGTAATCAAACACAACAACTCGTCAAAACATTCCTGATTCATTCTAAGATATATGTAGAATCTTTTTTTCAACTTTTCTTAACTGGGGCATGAGCGTATGGAACTCGCCAAATTGCAGCCGTTCTTTATTGATGTCGTGTACCCACATTTTCCTTGCTCTTTCGTCTTCTAGCACGGCTAGTAACAGAAAAGCTTCTTCTTCATCAGACGATGTCATAGGTTTAAGTTTACACACAGTACAGTATACAAACACTAACTATGCACAACACGTTTACAGCTAGAGAGTTTCACAACCACCGCACCCTAAGCTCCTCTGAGTAACCTCTACTGGCTTTCCCGCGAGTCCCTTTCCCGCTCTGGTGTGGAAGCGCCTGTTTCCGCTGCGATATTATCGCCCAAGTATCGCAGATAAAATTCCAGGAATAGTATCGCGCCACTCCAGCGATAAAGTATCGCTCCGGTGTGTACAGGGCTTATTCCTTAAAGCCCTGCACACACCAGAGCGATACTCCGTGCGATACTGGAGCGGGCGCGATACTTTTTCTTGGAAATTCTCTTGCGATACCAGTGGTCCGTGCGATAGCATGGCGGCTTATGGAGCCGCACACACCAGAGCGAACCGCGATACGCGATACCGAGGCGAATGCGATACCGTAGCGATAGTATCGCGGTAACGCTGCATGCACTGTTTGCAGCGCTGTATCGCGGCGATACCAATGTGGCCAAACTATGAACTACTCAGTTTCTTCTGTTCTCTGCAATTTTCAAGTAAGAAAACACTACTTTATTTATGTGCTTCTTGACTTTCTTGATTTTATTTTACAAGATCTTAAACCAACGATGCTGGTACCTTCAGGTCAAGTAACATTAATAACAAAAAAGTAACTAACTACAGTATTACAAAACTACATGATGTATCAAATGAAAATTAAAGATACTTTATATAGAATTTATAAAGGTATGAGATTTTACCAAAAATGTATCTATATACATTTACAGAAAAGAACAAACTGTATTATAGCAAATCATGTTAACTTTTCATTAAATCACGTTTTAGCAACTAGAAATTTAGAATAGGGTTCGTCTTTATTATTTGTTATCAAGCTAAGTTTTTCTGAAGAATTTACAATAGAATTCCCAAGCATTCACACATCTTGGATTTATTAATTATTTTAACACTTAAACAAATAACAATAGTTTTTCCAGTGCCGCTGTCAATCCTAAGTTGGGTGATTGCTGACAGAATAAAGTATTTAATACTGGTTTGATGATGATTCAAATTACTGCGTTAATAGTTCATACAATATTGTATTAGCTACAGCACAGCATTTAAGAGGTTTTGCTAGTCAGACTAGACGGAATAGAGAGATGTTAGGTACTGAGTTGATCCGTCAATTAAGTAAAAAATATATCTACCAGTCCTAAGTGATTGCTAGCCGTTCTTCAGCACTCGCTTCATGGTAGTGGGTACTTTCCTTTTCGATAATGCCAGCAATCAAACTCAGTAACTCGTAAAACATTCCTAATTCATTCTAAAATATATGTAGAATCGTTTTTCATCTTTTCTCAACTGGGACATGAATGTATGGTACTCGCCAAATTGCAACCGTTCTTTATTGATGTCGTGTACCCACATTTTCCTTGCTCTTTCATCTTCTAGCACGGCTAGTAACAGCAAATCTTCTTCGTCAGACGATGTCATAGGTTTAAGTTTACACACTACACAGAGTACAGTATACAAACACTAACTATAAAACAACACTTTTATAACAACTAGAGAGTCTCACAATCACCGCAACCTACGCTCTGAGGTGTACTGGCTTTCCCGCGCGTCCCTTTCCCACTCTAGTGTGGAAGCACCGCTTTTCGCTGCGATATTATCGCCCAAGTATCGCAGATAAAATTCTAGGAATAGTATCGCGCCACTCCAGCGATAAAGTATCGCTCCGGTGTGTACAGGGCTTAAAAGGGAAATTCGCTAAAATTATAGGATTTGTAATAAAAAAGTTATAAATGACAAAAGGGATTGAAATTTAATGCACTTTACAGAAATGCTTAGTTTTTACAGGTTCATAACACAAATAGCCTACAGTAACGGAAAAAATAACATTTTCTGAAGTTAAAACAAAAAATTTGCACAAATTCAATAAATTAGCAGGTTTGTCCTTTATAAAAATGAAATTTTTTCCGTTATTTCTGTTATGACCCTATAACAATGGTTCATTCCTGTAAATTGAAATAATTTCCCATCCTTTGTGTCATTTGTATTTTTTCTATGAATCCTATGGCTGTTGAGTTACTAGGCTTTGAAAAATGAAAATGGCCACCATTTTAAAATTATTAAAGGTAACAACTTGATGCTTTGCAAGAAAATAGTTCCTATTAGTCATCATTCACGTACCAAGTTTGAAGCTGGTACCTCAGTGGTTCCAAAGTTATGGAAAGTTATGTAAAAAATACATACACACACAGACAGACGGAAAACGAAGCTATAAATAGATAGGGCATATACGATATTTTGTATTGTTTTGACCTCAGGGACATGCCCACGGAGTTTCGAGAGAGAGTTTCGAAACATAGATACATAGTAGATGGATAGAGATAGCTGCCCAATTGATAGGCGAGTTCAGGTACAACCATAATATAGTTTGTCCAAAAGTTTCTGTGCGCGCGGCCAGATCTGGTCGGGTCAATGATGCAACACACTAGACGAAATAATAATACAGTATAGCTACAGTTTTAACAAGGGCTTTTTCTATGGAATAGTTATTTGTGTAACTAGTGGTGAAAGTGGCACTTTGCTGCACACGAGAGCAATGTTTACGCACGAGCCGCAGGCGAGTGCGGAATGATCTCGAGTGCAGCAAAGGCCTTTTTCACTCGTGTTACACATTATATTTTTCCTACAGTCACTATAAAGCATATAAATAATTAGTCTTTCAAACACTATACAACACGTTTTAGGTTCAACAGCAACACAAATGGTGCACTAGAGAAAGTAGTACCCGCGGTCCGTATCACTCCGCTAATTTTCCTCGGCAAGAAATGTGCTCCGCGTTTTGAGAATATAGTTCCGTATGTTTTTGCAATTTGAAGTGGTTTCCGCGCCTAAAAAAATTCTTTAGATGTATTTTTTTGTTTATTAAGTACGTAGAAATGTTTTAAAAACGTTTAAAAGAAAAGTCCAGAAAGTTCAGATATACCGAAACTATAAACACGAAATGACAGGTTAAATCGTAGTTATAATAGTCAATCAGCTGCTCATAGTATTATTATCTTTAAGTGTTGCCAACCTATTTCCAAGCGTACACGGATTACGTGCATAATAGAACCACGCTGTTTTGTGTTGTTTCGTTGGAATCCTGTTGTGCGGCAAAGTATAAACCGTACGACAAAGTATAAACCGTACGGCAAAGTATAAATATACAGCAATTAGCAGCTTTCTGTACTATAAACAGTACAAGGAAGCCAACTTTGTCGGGTGACTGTAGGAAAAATATTTAAGTGGTGTATTGATTATTACAAACGATTTAAATTACTGGATTGCTGATATAAACATTATGTACTTAGATTATATTTAGCCTACAATGTATAATGCATTTGGAAGAACAATAAAATCATTAAATTTCCAAAGCATAAACATTACCAACATGACAATGCGAGAAAACGGTCCAGTTTAGTTTAGACCTGAGTGAGTAACTCATTGATATGTGCTGTTGTAATGTGAGATAGCGAAACGAACTATGAATGAAAGAGAGTCACGGCGTGGCGCGGAGTTGGCTGTACTCGGCTGGATTAGCAGAGTAAATAGTCCATTGAATCTCGGGTCCACTTGTGGCCCAGACTGTACCGCGCCACATGTTTTGTAGTAGTGGGGGCAACCTCCCCTCACTCCGTCCGTTCATTCATAGCGAAGTGAAGTGACTGTGCGGCGGCCGAGATGTGCGATCGCGATGTGTACCCGTCGTCTGTTGTTGCCGTTGTTTGTTGTTCTGTGTAAGAGTGTTCTATGTATGTGTCTGTGACATGGTGCTTTGTGTTCAGATGGAGAGGAGAGTACTCAAGCCTGCCCTAAGTTCGCCTTGGCGCGAGCAAGATTTGACCAAGAAACCCAAAACATTGGTCAGTCTCGACATTTTATCCCTCTCTTTGCATGTCAAATTACACATAATGTAGTGTGTACTAAGTTAAGTTGGTGCGTGTTCATCATTGTAAGTAATGATTAAGTAATCTGTCTTTGGACATGGCAAAGTATATTCTCCCTAAACTATAATTAGTAATTGAGTAGGTTTACCCTCTCCCATGCAATCAAAGCTTCCAAAAAATAATTCAAATAATTCAAGTTGATTTATAGTTTCTAGGCTATGTTTTGTTAAATCTGTTTTCAACATCAGTTTCCTGTTCCAGATAATTATAAAGCATAAGTTAACTACTGCTAATGTTAAATCGAATTTCACTCCATCCTACTTTCCTTATGACGTACATATACAGTATATACGTACAAACGTTAGCAATCATTTCATATAGAACAGTTATGCTTGCTAAAATGTTCTTTAACATGTCCAAAGGAAGTAATAATACATAGTGGGCTGTACTCCTGAACTGTTGTTCTAAAATCCAATAGCTTCGCTTAGACTATTTCTAGCAAATTAGCCTAAAATGATTGAAATTTATTTATCTTGTTATTTTTTATTAAAGCCGTGCTGACTTTTGACGGTTAGACACTGGACCCAGCCTGCACTTGATCTTTTTGGGGCTTTGGGCGATTTCTGTTTGTGAGTTAAGTTTGTCAAAGCCGCACAAGAAATCTCACCAATGACATACAGTATTCCTGTTTCATTCATAGCATCGTCCACAAGGCGATTTTTCTGCGGAGACATTGTCGGCCGACTGTCTCGTCTCCTTCTGGGTTTATAGATGTGCGGCTGAGTTGCCTCTTGAAGGGCGATACAGTATGGCAAAACATACAGGGGTGCTTGCTTATTGTGCTCAACATTTTAAAAACTACTACAGGTTTCAGATTGCTGTACTAGAATGTAGGTACTTATAATATTTCATTGATGATCTTACCTTGTTATGTGTTGTTTGTAGACCTATGTGGATCGCAAACCAACGAGACCTTTTTGTAATTATTTGCTTGGCCTGTGATTGTTGCCCTCTTTATGTTTTGATTGAATACTTTTTGGTGTGGGGATATATAACTTTGGAGTTAGGGGCTTATACTTGTAAACATGCAGCTGCCAATATTTAGTATGGTCATATATCCATCCACTGCCTTGGGCTTGATATTTGTGTATGGAAGCGTCAATCTTTAAAAGTGCATTTTCAATTTGAGGCTTTAAATCTCTCTTCTCAATAGTTAAGGTAGTAAGGCTTCTAAAATCTGCAATACATTCTTTTTCATTAACTAATTGCCCATTTTGATCCATTGAATATTTTATAAACTTGATTCTCCTTACTAAAGTCCATTTTATCGGCAGAGGACAAGACTGAAGAGTATTTTTAAGGTCAGCTCTAATCGATTCACCGACAAATTTAATCATTGTATATGGACATTTTATGCAATAATTGGCATGTCTTTTAAAAGGTCCAACAACATTCGTTTTACAGAAATTACAAGTCTTATGATTTTGTAATATATGTGATTTTAAAGCCGCATTATTATCACAGATTAAATTGCAAACCTTGCACAGTTTCACCTTCATTTGATGAATTACCTTGTAGTGGCGAATCAGGTTACTTTTGGTGGAGAGCAACATGGAGCAGTGTTGACAGGTGGGCCTCATGGTCCAGAATGAAATATCAACCGAATGTCACTTCTATTTATAGAATTTTCGAAAATTTCAAAATTTTTAAAATTTTAAAAATTTAGATTAGAAATTAAGAATTACTTCAACAGGAGGTCACCCACCCAGGACTAGACCACTAGAGACGAGAAGCCTGACCGTAGGTCGGGAGCACGACCAGGAGCGCGTCATGAGCCGGGAGCGCGCCCGAGTTCGCGTACAAACCTCGCACTGTCAAGTTGATGATTTTGAGAATATACATGTGAATGCATATGGATTTGAAATAGTAATGAAGTTATACAATGGTATTGAACATTTATATAGGGGTGTACAGGCGAAGATCAGGATTTTTGGATTTGGTGGCTAAAAAATGATCCCCATAAGAATAACATGGGAAAAACGTGCCTAAAGTGAGGTCATACCCGTAGTTTGCCACTACTCTACATTTACACTTGTAAGGGTCAATAAATGTAAGAAATAGCTTTTTTAGCTTGATATCGAATATATTTATGGGGAATGAGTAAGAAATAAGGTTTTTTCAATTTTATAGGGATTTGTAGACAAAGATCAGGATTTTTGGAATTGGTGGCCAAAAAATGATCCCCATGTTATTCTTATGGGAAAAAACGCCTAAAGTGGGGTAAAACCGGTAGTTCGCCACTACTTATAATACTTTGCAAACCAAGTAAGTTTTTAGTTTTAGTTTAAATTTTGAACTGTTTATTTGACACTTTAATTCTTTTGGCAATTTTCTGAAATAACTTGCTCCTTTGTAAGACGGCTTCTTTGTGTAAAATTCAAGTCTATGGTGAGTGGGTATGATTTCATTCTTTTTTCGCGTGTTGTAATGGTGTGTTTCTTGTTCTAAAATTGTATCCTTCTTATTGTTTAAAAATATCATAATAGTGTCTAAAATAAACTGACCATAAACTGTTAATATATTTAGCATTTAAAAATGTTCCCTGCATGATGTTACCTCGCCTCCGGGTTGAAGTTCGTTCGCTACGCTAACTCACCTTTTGGTTTCAAATTAGCTGTTGTCAAATATTTAAAAAAATAATAGTGCTGCACTCTGTTGGTAATCCTTGTAACTTTAATGCTATTAAACATCATAGAACAGAACCAACTTGTTTAATTGAAACAGCTGTTGTGATTCATTAATTCTATTTAAATATGAGTACACTCATTAGGTTAACATGGGAAACTCCAGAGCCACTGGGGCGGAGCCCGAGAGTCCGATCAGAATAAAAACCAATTAGTTTTCCTATTTAATGCCTAAAGAATCAGTGTACCAAATTTCAGCCTCCTAGGTAAGTGGGAAGTGGGAGAATTAGTGATGAGTGAGTCAGTCAGTCAGTGAGGGCTTTGCCTTTTATACATATAGATTACTCAAACAAGAATGTTTAATGTCCTAACTGTCATATATAAGTTAACTGGCAACAAAGTTGGACATAGAATTATTTCTATTTCATTTATAACCACAAGAGAAACCTAGTTAAAATTAAAATATAATATTTACGGCTGGGAGTTACTATTTGAATACTTTATGTAGGCCTTCTGTTTGTGTAATATTTGAAAACAAGTTAAATAAACAATAATTCCCTAATGTTAAGGAATGTCATGAAATGTATGACGTTTATTTATGTATTCACTGCATGCCGTGTAAGCAACAGGTTGGCAGTGGTCGGTGCAGGGTGTAGGTGGGGGAGGAGGGTGGCGTGAAATCCGACCCCGAGACAGGTGGCTTACGGCCAAGGGGGCACCAGGCAGACAACGTACTGTACCGATACGGTATTCAATTATGGTGGTCGAAGTTGGCATCCAGTATCGTATCTCTCGTATATGTCAAATGCCTCGTGAAAACCTTTGCTTTGGTAGACATAATCTCAATCTGCAACTGATGGTTTAACTAGGTTAATATTCAACATGCAATAGGGCCTAACAATAGTTAGTAGCCTATACGGACCACTCCTGCTTCTGTAATGGTCGTGATTGATAGATTCACTATAGGCGGATAACGGACAAGGTTCCCACGACACACGACCATGGGGGCGCCCACAGAAACCTACACCATTCACCATAGCCACTATACGCTACACCCGCTGTTCAATACTGGGGAGTAACAGTGTACTTACTTGTGACACGGGAAAGGAATGCGTTTCCTTCAAATTTTCAGTTTACAATGGTTAAGAAATATTGTGATGTCTTGATATCAAATCGCGATTGAAGAGAAAACGCAATTCCGGAACCTCTTCCTGCCTAAAGAAATTCTCTTTAATTACATGAAAGATCTCTCAACGATTGCTAATGCTGCATATTGGTTCTGTTGTTGTTTGTGTTTTGCTATAGCAAATAGCAATAGAGTGGGTAAAGGTGTAAATAGCGGCCACAAATTTAAATAAGGTGAAACGTGATCGCTATGTTAAACCGTGGCCGCCGCACCGTTTTTGAGGTGGTTCCTGTATAACTACTTTTAAAAACTGTTAGTAATCTATAATTACTTTAACAATGGTGAACATCTTTCATCAAATATATAGGCCTAAGTAATTAATACAAATTTAGGTTTTGTTGTCTAATAATGTTTTGGTTCGGCGAATGTTTTAGTAGCCTAGTTTGTAAACTGTCAGTTTTGTCACCAGTTCCAAGAAATGCTCGGATGTTGCATCGACAGACATCCTACCTTTTACCGAGTAGCGGAAGAAGCGAATTAAGCACTTGTTATCAGGTACATGCTAGACGGACGAGTGTATGAATGGACCACTCTCTCGCGGCATCAGCACACTCAGGAATACCATCTGCTGAGTCACATTGTCCATCAGTACCAACATCTAATGTTACACATTATAACATTTACACTACCTAGTGACTGTGTCAGTGAGCCAAGGTTTATCAGTATACATGCTGGAAGGACGAGAGTATAGATAGATGGACCACTCTCTCGCGGCATCAGCACACTCAGGAATACAATCTGCTGAGTCACATTGTACATCAGTACCAACATCTAATGTTACACATTATAACATTTACACTACCTAGTGACTGTGTCAGTGAGCCAAGGTTTATCAGTATACATGCTGGAAGGACGAGAGTATAGATAGATGGACCACTCTCTCGCGGCATCAGCACACTCAGGAATACCATCTGCTGAGTCACATTGTACATCAGTACCAACATCTAATGTTACACATTATAACATTTACACTACCTAGTGACTGTGTCAGTGAGCCAAGGTTTATCGGTATACATGCTGGAAGGACGAGTGTATAGATAGATGGACCACTCTCTCGCGGCATCAGCACACTCAGGAATACCATCTGCTGAGTCACATTGTACATC